GTTTGTTGCTCAGTGTCTGTGGCTGCTTTGGTTTACCTTTTACAAGCCACACCCCAGTAAGCAAGAGCTTCCTATAAGGTGTTTGCAGGGTTGGAGCTCCCAAAGCCTTGCGGAGCTGGTCCTACCGGTTTGAGCATGGGTAAATACTCTTAAGGGTTGCTCCGGGATGATTAAGGGAGGTGATTTCTCTGCCAAGCAAAGTCTTGCACTGGTAAAAGCTGCTGCTGCAAACCTGCTGTTGCAGAGCCAGGCCACCCACTGCTGGTGCGTGTTGGATGGGGATGCTGCCCACTGGCTGCTTGCCCAGCAGGTCTTCATGCGGGAGCGGGAGAGCAGTGATTTATTGCGTCTAACACGGGGCTGTGGCCAGGGCTGCAGCAGGATTCTGTCCTGTGAAGGGAAGTGAAACTTGCCCACAGCACAGGGAGCGTCTCATGCGTACCCTGGGGTTCACTGCTCCAGCTCAGGGCTGCTGCAGCGGGAGGGTATCTAAAGAGATATGGAGCAAGGGCTTCCAGCAGGATACGTGCTGGGAGAGGAGGCAGGTGCTTAATCCCCATCCCAGAGCCTTGTGCTCAGCTCCTGATCCCCTGCTTGTTGTTAACTGTGTGGTAATAACGTGCCCTGAGCCACCTCCTGCGGACAAGCTGGTGCTCGCTTTGGCTTCAGAATCCCAGGGTGGTTTGGGTTGAAGGGACCTTAAAGCTCATCCAGTTCCAGCCCCTGTCACGGGCAGGGACCCCTTCCACTAGAGCAGCTTGCTCCAAGCCCCGGTGTCCAACCTGGCCTTGAACACTGCCAGGGATGGGGCAGCCACAGCTTCTCTGGGCACCCTGTGCCAGCGCCTCAGCACCCTCACAGGGAAGAGCTTCTGCCTAAGAGCTCAGCTCAGTCTCCCCTCGGGCAGGTTCAAGCCATTCCCCTTGGCCTGGCCCTACAGGCCCTTGGCCAAAGCCCCTCTCCAGCTTTCCTGCAGCCCCTTCAGGCACTGGAGCTGCTCTCAGGTCTCCCCTTCAGGAGCCTTCTCTTCTCCAGGCTGCCCCAGCCCAGCTCTCTCAGCCTGGCTCCAGAGCAGAGCTGCTCCAGCCCTCGCAGCATCTCCATGGCCTCCTCTGGCCTCACTCCAGTCTCCATAATGTTGAGCTCTGCCTGCACCAGGGGGTGAAGACGAAGGAGAGAGAAGAAACCCATAACCCTGGGGATGGTGCTGTTGGTGTGATGTGCGCTGAAGCTGCAGGAGGGATGCTGTGGACCAGCCAGAGGAGCAAACAGCGCAGTCAGCCTGGGAGGGATGCTCTTGTGGCATCCAGCTGCCTTGGTTCAGTTTCCCACAGGGTAGCTGCAGCCCCGTTATCTCTTCTGCTCCTCGGGTGCTCGTCTCCGCATCTCTTGAAGTTCAATTGCTTTAATTATCCCAGAGGCTGCAGGAGCTCTTGAAGCAGCGTTTGCATGGGGACCGTGCTGCCTTTGCTGTGCTCATCAGGAGTTTTGTGAATGGATTTGCCGCTGACACAAACCTCTTGATTCAGCACCTTCCGTGACCCAGGAGAAAGGCTCCGTGGGCTCCCTCTGTGACTCTTGTGTCCTTCCCTCTCGCTGTGTCACAGAGGTACAGATCTGTCATCACTCCGTGCTTTGTTTTCCCAGCTGGCAGGGAGACCAGTGCCAGTGTCTTGATGGAGGGCAAAGCTTCCAGTGGAGTCTGTGTGACTGGATTTAAAAGAGCCTGGTCCAGACGTTCAATTAGAAGCCCTGCATAAATAATAGAAATGGATGTTCAGTTCACTCCTGCGCAGGCAGCATCCTGGTTTTCCCTTCTTTTTTAGCCAGTGGTGGTCAAAATGGATGCTGAGAAGGCCCCAGCAGTCTGGTAACATCACGGGGTGGGTTCAGTGTGGTGCAGAGGGGGGGTGACTGGCCTATTGGGAAGACAGGCTGAGAACATTGGGGCTGTTCAGCCTGGAGAAGAGAAGATGTGTGGGGATCTCAGAGCAGCTTCCAGTGTCTGAAGGGGGTCTGTAAGGATGCTGGGGAGGGACTCTTCATTAGGGACTGTAGTGATAGGACAAGGGGTGATGGGTTCAAACTGAAACAGGGGAGATTTAGGTTGGAGATAAGGGGGAATTTCTTTCCTGTGAGGGTGCTGAGGCACTGGAATGGGTTGCCCAGAGAAGCTGTGGCTGCCCCATCCCTGGCAGTGTTCAAGGCCAGGTTGGACAGAGGGGCTTGGAGCAAGCTGCTCTAGTGGAAGGTGTCCCTGCCCGTGGCAGGGATTGGAGCTGGGTGAGCTTTAAGGCCCCTTCCAACACAAACCATTCTATGATTCTATAAGCAACCACCCTGTGGCCAACTACAGACGGAGGTGGCTCTATTCTTGTGCATGATTTGCTCTCCCTAGGCTGTATTTCTGCAATGCCTGCAAACCTGCTCTATGTGATCAATGCCTTGTTTGAACCTAAACCTTGCTTGGTGAGACCAGCCCCACATCCCTGGGCTGCTCCATCCCAGTTCAAGCTGCCATATATATAAACCTGGGGGAGCCCTGGACGAGGTTCCAGCCATCAGGAATGGTTTCCTCTTGGTTTTGGAAGCTTTCCCCCTGGGTGAGCTCAGGAGTGTTCACTGTTGCTGGTGCTCTGTGCTGCCCCTTGCAATCATTAACCAGGGTCATGGCTGGGGTGCTGGGATGGGGAGGGTTAGTGATGTGGTGGCTGTCCCCAGGGGCTGGGCATTGGCCAAGCCCATTAATTCACCTTCCCATGCTGGCCCTGCAGTCTCTGCTGAGCTACAAGGGGCTTTAACCCTGCTGGGGCCTGATGAGCAAGCCTGATGTAATGCGTGTCTGCCGTGGTAAGGATGGTTCAGGGGTTGGAAAGCACCTGGGGGTATGTTGGTGGTACCCAAAACTGAGCGTCTCTGTTCTTCCCAAGCCATCAGTGGGTTGGGATGAGCTGGACCGTGGTGAATGATGAACATCTCCATCTCCTCTCTGTTCCCTTGGCCAATGGTGGTTGCCCGGTGGCATGTTCCATCCTTCCTCTTCCCAGTGCTTTGGGGCCTGTCCTTCTGCCACCTCCTTTTGGTCTCCTTCCACCCCTGTTCCTGCTCGTCCTGCATCTCTGCACCCCCTGCATTGGCTGGTCCAGGGGGAGGGATGCTGCCACCAGCAGTGCTTTGAGCTGGTTACTCCTCATTGTGCCAAGATGCATTCAGGTGCATGTCCTGGTCCCATCTGACCTTAAGGTCTGTGCTGAGCAGTCTGGCTGGTGCTGCACTGTGTGTGCAGTGCTCTTGCCAGGCAGAGCTTGCTGCCAGCGCAGGGTTATTATGGGTTGTGGCGCAGGGCTGCCCTTCCTTCCTGCAGCTCCACCATGGGCTCTGTTTGCACATGGTGACTCATATCTGCAAGGAATGAGGAACTCCCCAGGCCAAAGGCCTCCCTGGGGGAGTTATCCAAGCGAAAGGGGTGAGTTATCCAAGCGAAAGGGAGCTCCTGGCTGTCACTCCTCCATGGCTCCTGCAGGAGGGGGGTATCCAAGGATTCCTAAACCCTCCATTAACCCCAACATATCCAAACACTGCCCCTCCATGCAAACCCTCTGGCCATCTCTGTCTCTCCCCGTGCTGTCTTGTAGCTGTTAAGCAACGAAAGAGCAATGCTCTGGAGGGTAAAAAGCAGGGGAAATAAAGCAAACATGATAAAAATCACTGAGCACTGATGAAAACAAGATCCAAACGTGACGTCTTCTCTGGGGTTGATGTTGTGCAGATGCTGCCGGCCAGGCTTTGCGGATAGGGAATCACTTGCACTGGGAGGAGTGACCCTGGTCCCTTCCTTGGCACTGCTGCAAATGCACCTTTTTAATGACAGAGTGCTTGATGTCTTGAGGTTCTAGCAGTAACAGCCTGCTCTCAGACAGCACCTTCCTCTGTAGGTCTCAGAGTGCTTTGTGGAAGGGACCAGGATCCCTGCAGCTCGATAGTGATGCTGTTTCCCACTCTAAAGGAGGACGCATCCACAGGGAGCATTTGCTGTACTTAAGTGCTTGCAAAAAGCCCTATGAATGCAGTGGGTTTGCTCACTCAGAGCAAACAGCCCCTAACCCATCAGGGGTTGTTTTGGAGACTAAATCCACTACACTGAGGTTTTGATGGCCTATCCCCATGTGCACACATGCAAAATTAACCCTTCAGCTAAAGATCATGGAATCATAGAATGGTTTGGGTTGGAAAGGACCTTAAGATCATCCTGTTCCAACCCCCTGCCATGGGCAGGGATGCTTCACGCTAGACCGTGTCAGCCAAGGCTGTGTTCAGGTGTCTGGATTTGGGTCCTACCTGTGCTGCACCAAATCCCTGGCAAAAAACAGAGCTTGATATAAATATAATTGAGTGAAGATGGTTGTTTCACCTTTAGCCTAGCAGAGTTTGTAGCTTAGATGAGAACAGAGATGCCACCGGATGAAGGGAAGAGATAAAGGCAGGAAAGGGGCACTCAGCCTTCCGTTCGTCAGCGGGTTTGTTTCAGCGTGTAACCACTGTTAATGCTCTTTGATCTGCATTTTGGTCAAAGCAGCTACTCCGGAAGGGTCTCCAGCTCTGCTCAGATGCATCTGGAGATGAACTACCTGTAACTTCCCATAGGAGCTGGCTCCCCTGTTAACCAGTCAGTTTCGAGTAGAAACGATGCCTCATTTCCTGTGTTCCATCAGCGTGGCTTCAACTTCCAGTCCTGTGCATGGGGCTAACGGAGGATGCTGCGTGGTGCTGCTGGCTCTGGGCCATGCCGCTTTTGAGTCCAAAGCACAGCTATGGTTGATGCACAGCTTGGAGTGGGAAAGGGCTTTGGGAATGCAGCTCAGACCTGCTGTGGACCATGGTCCTGATGGCTTTTCAATGGGATTATCACCCTATAGCCTGTGACTTGAGGCTTTTCTGTCCATGGAGATGTTGGTTAAGAGGTGTTTTGTCTGTCCTATAGGATCGATAAGAAAGGAGCCCTTTGCTCCTGGCTAGGGTGCAGCCTTGCGATAAGTCAAGCACGGTGATCCCGTGCCAGCTCCCTTGGTACAGGATCCTCCTGGCTGGAAGTGAAGGAGAGGAAGCGGTTTGTGGGGAGCAAGGAAGAGCCTTTCAGCAAGTATTTGGTCCTGGCCAACACAAGCACTTCCAATCCTTCTCCCCATTGCAGTGCTTGGAATTATGCTCATTACCAGCTGGCAGGAGCTGGATGATGCTGGAGTGAAACGGGGGAGTCCACAACACCCTGAGTCATAACTCTGGCTCAGTGCTCCAAATAAATGCTTTCCTATTTAACTGCTCTGTGGCTGGATTAAGGTTGGGCTCAAACCTCTGTTCCCAGTCATTCGGCTCTAAGAGGTGGGAGTGCAGATTCCCCTCCCTGCTCAATGCACGTGGAGGGCTGTTCATTCCAACCAGGCATGAAAACACCCGCTTCTTGTCCTCCTGAAGCATCCTGGCTGGCTGCAAGAAGGCGAAGAGTCATTAGCCCTTGAGCATTTTAATGTGGCAGACCTGATGTTCAGCCCGGTAAGCATGAAATGCTGCAAATTAGAGAGAGTAATGAATTCTAACGCTGCCCTCGGAGCGCTCCCCACGGCCCCTTCCTTTTAATTATTTCCCAATTAAGTTTTGCCTTTAAATGATCCTGAACATTATCCCCTCTCCTTCTGCTTGCCATTCCCTGTCCACCTCAAATCCACCTCCATCATGTGAGAGCAGCCCCGCAGCAAGGACGGATGGCTCTCGAGGGGATAGTCACTGTATAGTGGGATAGCACAGCGAGGAGCTGGTCCTCTTCCCCCAGGCAGATTAGGCTGGAGCTGCTTGGGAAGAACCATGGTCCTGTTCTCATAGGGATGGACGTTTTGGGTGTCTCTTGGCTGTCAGTGTTGCAAGGGACATAGGAAAACACAGCTCCAAGCTGTTGTTGCAGAGCTGGCTGGGGAGGAGCAGTCATTTTATGAATGAGCAGCCAAGTGCCAGCCCTTGGCCACGGGACAGGTTGGGAGCAGGGTGCAGCATCTCCTGCATCAAAACCATAACTCCTGCCTTAACGCAACCGTGGCCTTTAGAAAGGTACCTGCCCCATCCCTGGCAGTGTTCGAGGCCAGGTTGGACACAGGGGCTTCGAGCAAACTGCTCTAGTGGAAGGGGTCCCTGCCCGTGGCAGGGGGTTGGAACTGGATGAGCCTTAAGGTCCCATCCAACCCAAACCTTTCCATGATTCTCTTCCTCCTCTCCAGGCTTTTCCCCTGAATCTCACTGGTTCTTCCTGCACAGCCTCCCATGGAAATGTCCTTTCCCATCTGTCAGACCAGCTCATGCACAAGTCCAAGCCATTCACCTCCCATCTCAGTGAACAGCATCCTTTCTCTCGGGCCGTGGTATTCATGCAGAAGGCAGCTGCCAACCACCCCTTCCCAGCACTGCCTGTGTCTCTATAGCAGTGGGTGCTGTCACTGCGAAAGTCCTGCCTGGTTGTCACTCAGAAGGAGCCCATTCACTGCTAAGCTGTCCCCAAGACTTCCCTGGGGACGGGTCCCTTGTCCTTCACCCCCTTTCTCTGCTGAAGGTCCAGAGGCTAGCTCCTCCTTTGCCCTCATAGCAGGGTGGATGTGTGTTTTGATGACTGGCTGCATTCCCTGACTGCTCAAAGAGGCTGTCTGCTCTTCTACAAGGAGTAAATCTGGTGTTTTATTAAGGTTTTTGTATCAGGCCATTTATATTTAAGGCTTTTCCAAGGGCAGGCGATGCACTCGGGCCTCTCTGCAGCATCTGGGAACTGATCCTGATGCCAAGGAGAAAATCCTGTGAGCATCACTTTGTACCACAGCACCTGGATATTCTGAGCTGTCTTCAAAGGCTCCTGTGTGTATTCATGCTTGTGTATCTGGTCCTATGCAGGAAAGGTCCTAGCCTTGGTTTCCTAATAGAGTTGGTTATACAGTACACTGAAGGCAGAGATGCTCTCCCTGGCTTTATCCTGCAAGCTAAGATGTTATAAACTATAAAATCTCAAATCAACCATCCTGGAGGATCACTAAATGCTCTTCCTCCACACTGGGGATATGGGATTAGGGAGACATTGGAGTCAGTTGGTTGTTGGCCATCCAGTGCCAATGGTCTCCTTGTGGGAGATGCATCTACCTGTTGTCCCCAGTCCATACTACAGGGTCCACACAGTTCAGATCGTGTTTAATTAAAGGCCTAATTGCCCCTTTGCACAGTCATTACCAGTCATTGCATCCCAGGGTGCAAGGCTGGGACACACTACGTGATTTGGGAAGTGATGGAATCACCATCCCTGGAAGTCTTCAAGAACCATGTAGATGAGGCCCTCAGTGCCATGGGTTAGTGGTGCCCTTGGCAGTGCTGTAATGGTTGGACTGGATGCTCTTAAAGGTCTTTTCCAACCTGGTTGATTCTATGATTTGGATAAAGGTGGCTGCCTGGCACAGAGCATCCCACAAGCTGCTTTAGCTACTGATACCTGTGGAACAGCCAACAAGGGGGTTATTTTGGGTTCACTTAAGCTCTGAGTGATGAGTGCTTGTGCTGTTAATCAGGCTGATAAACAGCATCAATTAAAACCTGTGCTTTGCTCTTCTGCTTTGCAAAGTGAAGTGTTTTCATCCCTCCCAGAGGAGAGGAGGCTGGATGGTGCTCTTGGAGCATCGCTCTGATAAGCGCAGGCATTGGTTGAGCTCTCAAACAACTTCTTCCCTTCAGCTAATCCCAGTGATGCATTAACAGGGATCTGACTGCTCCCAAACTGATGCCCAACTGTAAATGATCATATAATCCCAGGGATTTGGGATCTTTACAGATTAGCTGCTTCCAATTAGCCTTTAGTGCAGCTTCCGTGTCCCACCATATGTGATGGGGCAATAAGCATACGGTTTCTCTATGTCTCTTTGGGAGCAATGAGAGGTCAGCTTGCTGGATGCATCTGGGGCATCCTTTGTTATACCGTGAATGGTGTTGGAGACCACAGCTCTGGGATTATGGGGCACAGACCTCCACTTCTTTAGGAAACCAGACTCGTTTCCTGACTAGAGTCACTGATGGTCAGCATTTTGGAAAGGACATCCCATTCGGGGGAGAGGGAAGGGTTGTACATGGCTGTTATAAATACAGAGAAAGTAGGGAAAGAGCTTTGGAAAAACGTCTGTGATTTAGTGGAATCATAGAATCACAGAATGGTTTGGGTTGGAAAGGACCTTAAGATCATCTAGTTCCAACCCCCTGCCATGGCCAGGGACGCCTCACGCTAAACCATGGCACCCAGGGCTCTGTCCAACCTGGCCTTGAACACTGCCAGGGGTGGAGCATTCACAGCTTCCTTGGGCACCCTGTGCCAGTGCCTCAGCACCCTCACTGTAGAGCATCCCTTTTCCTTGTGCCTGCTGTGGGGACAAGGTGGCTTGACCTGCAGGGTGAAGAGGTGGGGACCCGAGCAAAGGGGCTGGTACCCAGTGGCCTAAAGGCAGTGGCGATGGAGCGGTGATGGAGAGGCACTGCTCTCTCTTTGGAGGCATTTGGGCAGAGGTTTCCTGCTGTTTTCTGGACTGCTAAATTTACATCTCTGCCCAGGCACTGTCAGGACACAATAATTAATCCAGAAACACGCGGCAGGCTGCCAGGAGGCCTTTTTTTAATTAAACCCAGATCTGCTAAAGTCTGCTGAGAGGCTGTGTCCGATGAGATCATGGAATGTGTGTCCATGAGTGGAAGAGGAGAGACTGAGCTGAGCTCTTAGGCAGAAGCTCTTCCCTGTGAGGGTGCTGAGGCGCTGGCACAGGGTGCCCAGAGAAGCTGTGGCTGCCCCATCCCTGGCAGTGTTCAAGGCCAGGTTGGACACAGGGACTTGGAGCAAGCTGCTCTAGTGGAAGGGGTCCCTGCCCGTGGCAGGGGTTGGAGCTGAATGAGCTTTAAGATCCCTTCAAACCAAACCATTCTGTGATTCAAGGCTGCATGGAGGGGATGCTCTGGATAGGGCTTAGCCCCATGGAACGTGTCTTGCAGGGGATGTCTTCTCCTCCTTTGCCTCTGGGAGCTCTGTTTTTCCCAAAGGAGTTACAAATTCACTAAGAGGCAGGTCTTCTATTCTGCCTGTTTTGGTCAGGTTGGGGGACAAATGGGAATCCTGTGTGCAAGGACCAGCAAAGGTATGCTTGGGTTTAGAGAAGTCATTGGTCCCTCCTCATTTATATGTAGGATTTTCCCTACCTGTTTAAATTGGTGATGAAGCACTGGTGAGGCTGCACCTCGAATCCTGTGTTCAGTTCAGGCCCCTCAGTACAAGAGAGACATTGAGGTGCTGGAGCGGGGCCAGAGAAGGGCAGCGGAGCTGGTGCAGGGCCTGGAGCCCAAGTGTGATGGGGAAGGGCTGAGGGACCTGGGGGGTTCAGTGTGGAGAAGAGAAGGCTCAGGGGGGACCTGATCGCTGCCTACAAGTGCCTGAGAGGAGGATGGAGCCAGGAGGGGCTGGGCTCTGCTCCCAAGGAACAAGGGATGGGACAAGAGGAACCGGCCTCAAGCTGCACCAGGGCAGGTTTAGATGGAGCTGAGGAACAATTCCTGCCCCAGAGGGTGCTCAGGCATTGGAACAGGCTGCCCAGGGCAGGGCTGCAGTCACCGTCCCTGCAAGTGTTCACACCCCGTGGAGACGAGGCCTCAGTGCCATGGGGCAGTGGTGGCCTTGGCAGTGCTGGGGAACGGTTGGACTGGATGAGCTTAAAGGGCTTTCCTGACCTCACTGATTCTATGATTCTGTGATACCTCCAGGAGGGAGCCAGGGGTGCTTCATGGGACTCCAGAAGTGGGTTTAGCAATGTAGGTGAGCCGTGATGTCTTGGTCCTGCCACTCAGATCCTGCAGGGGAGGACTGAGTGTCCCTGGGCAGACCCTGCCCCATCTCATTCCCACTTTTCCCATCCTCCAGGGCCGGCGGGGAAGGATGTTCTCCTCGGTGAAGCCCTACGAGAACCAGCGCTACACCTCCCTGAAGAAGGAATGTCAGCGGAGGAAGCAGCTCTTCGAGGACCCGCTTTTCCCTGCCAATGATGATTCACTGTTCTACAAGTCAAGGATCCAGGGCATCCAGTGGAAGCGACCCAAAGTAAGTACACCCATCCCAATGCAGCCTCCCGCCCTCCAGCATCCCCAAATGCACAGTGCATCCTTCGCCAAGGACTCCAAGCCTCAGCCAACATTTCCTCTCCCCACCAGGGTTTATTTGCTGGGGCTTGGTGCTGTGAGCCTCTGGGATGCCAGTGAGACCTGATGCACCCGGGTACAGTCTGCTTTACCCCCAGTGAGGGCCAAGAGAAAAGGAGGCTTCTCTGTGACTCAGTTTCCCCATGCATAAAACAGAGATGGTTTGCAGCCGGGTTGGTGTTGGGTACTCTTATCAAGCCTGCTGGGTCCAGCAGAGCAAAGTGTTATCTATGAATACTCTTGATGGTCCATTTGAAAAGGAAAAGCAGATAAGCTTTGGGTAGGTGGATATAAAGAAAGTCAGATATAAGGTTAGATATAAAGAAGCTCTTCCCTGTGAGGGTGCTGAGGCACTGGCACAGGGTGCCCAGAGAAGCTGTGGCTGCCCCATCCCTGGCAGTGTTCAAGGCCAGGTTGGACACAGGGGCTTGGAGCAAGCTGCTCTAGTGGAAGGTGTCCCTGCCCATGGCAGGGGCTGGGACTGGATGAGCTTTAAGGTCCCTTCAGCCCAAATCGCTCTGTGATTCTCAGTGAGGTGATTTCTGGGTCTTTGAGAGCTGAGTGTTCTTAACCCATCCTTCCCCTCCGCATTGTCCTCCACGCTGCTCTGTCTGTCATGGAGGCAGGTTCTGGGAGGCTGGAGGTAACATTGCCTGTCCCCAGTGCTGCCTGTGCCCCTTCTGCTGTCGCAGTGCCTGCCCAAAGGATGCACAGTCAGGTCTGGAGGGCAGTGTGGGGAATTTGCATGTCCTGCCATGGCCATCTGCTTGAGATTGATCCTAGAGTCCATGGAATCAACCAGGCTGGAAAAGACCTTCAAGATCATCAAATCCAACCATTCCCCAGCACTGCCAGGGCTATGTGGCCACTTCTCTGACTCCCATGAAGTAGCACAGCCCCAGAGGGCAATGATAACTGTGGTTGCAGAGAGGCAGAATCACATCAGTGGGGTTTCCTTCTTGCCTGCAAGGAGAAGCAGATCTCTCTGCCCAGCCCGTGCTGTTTTACATGCAGGGTCGCATGAGCTGCTCTCGTCATCTTCATCCCCTCTGGCAGCACAGGAAAGCATCTGCCCTTTTGCAGGACAGAGCTGGGTCTGTGTGGGCGAGGGCAGTCTGGGGCCGAGGACAAAAAGCCTTTGTGTGAAGGGAGGGATGGAGCTGAACTGAGTTTCTGTGTGGCTGAGCCCTGCAGCATCCCACCAGGCTCCTGGTGGGAGGAGGTCGCGCTCCCCTCTGCTCTGCCTTGGGCTCTTCCACACCAGTGCTGTGTGGCCGCAGGCTTTGTGCAAAGCTCTGTATGGGGTTTAGTTTATTACCCTCATCTTCTGGGTGAGGATGCTCCGTGCACTGCTGCCTGCTGAAGGCAGGGCCCACCGTGGTTTGGTCTCACTGTGGGAGACAACATCAGCACACTTTACATCCCATTTATACAGCGCATAGGTGATGCCTGAGGCTTTCTAAGCATCTTTGGGGCTAAAGGGTAGGGATGTATTTGACACCCTCTTGCTGGGGCTTGCATTCAGACAGACACCCATTCAGACCTATGTCTAATGGCAGGGAGTTTGGTTCACTTGTAGAGGGCCAAAGTTTGCTCATCTTCTGCTGAGCATCAGTGGCTCAGAGCTGTTCTCCATCTGCTTTTCTGGCTTTCAGCTCACTTGGCGTTCAGGCATGTAACATCCACTCGTGCTTAAGAGGACGTGAGGTCAAACAGCAAGGTACCATCAGCATGAAGCCTTTATAAGAAAGCTTTCTGACCTCCTGGTCTTCACCTGAATGGTGTCACGCTCATCTAATCCAAGCCCATCCCTGCTGAAGCATGGGGTGAATTCAAGCTCTTGCCAGCCAGCCAGCTCTGCTGTTTCATAGGCTCATAGAGCAGTTTGGGTTGGAAGGCACCTTTAAAGCAATTAGCAGAGGATGGTTGAATAGAGGCTTCTTCTGGCATGGGCTGGTAGTAGGAATGGGTGCTGGAAGTGAGTCCTACATACAGACATGGTCCTGTGCACTTGGCTAGACATGGAGATGGTCCTTCTTCTGCACCAGACAACGGGAACTTTGCCAGCAGCCCTGGCACCAGAAGGAGTTTACACTGAGCAACAGCAGACTCCCTGATGCTACTGTCTGGTCAAATCATTTGATCAAAGCTATCTAGATCCCTTGACCCCAAAATCATCATAAAAACCAGAATGTGAGCTCACATCAGCCCTGCTTACAGCTGAACGTTCCAGAAGTCTCTTTCCCTACGGGATTTCTCCAGGTTCTTTCTTTCAGTTGTTCATTTTGGCAAAAGTGACTGAATTTCATGGGGGAAGAACTGCTTTGTGCCGACCAGCCAATGCAAAGTGATGTTTTGAGTGGCTGGACCCGATTCTGTCTGAATTCATACCAGCTCTCCAAAGGAGAAAGCCCAGCAAAAGGTCCCAGCATCTTCAGCCAGAATGCAAACGTGGTGCATCTGGGTGTTAGGGATTTTGATTTATATCCCTATATATGGGTATATATATGTAGGGATATAGATGATATATATATATCATATATTCCCATCATATATATATGATAAATATATATATGATGGGAAACACCATCAGCTTCTCCAATTTAATGCAGTATCCTGTAGGGTCCAAAGTGTCCATGAAATTCCAATCAGCTGCTCTCTTGTGTAGTAATTGGATAATGCAGTTACTAAGCCACATTTAAGTCCCTGCAGCATCTTCCTCCTATCACAACCAGCAAATCATTCCTTAGGCAATCCCATTTTATTCTTGCTTAGAAAAGCTAAACGGAATGATGCTCCCAGCTTTTGGCACGTGCTGCTTTGGGACTTCCTGACCCAGAAATGCAGTGTGTCAGCCCCAGGGACGCTGTCTGCAAGGAGGGGATGGGGTGTACATACATCTCTTATCTCTCAGGACCATGGCCATGGTTTGCTTTGGAGAGCCATAGAATAGCAGTTTCAGCTGAAAGTGGGTGATAAAACACAAGAGCTCCCCATGCCTCAGCTTTGCTGTGAGAGTGGAAGTCAAAGCTGTCAGCTATTAGAAGCACTGTTTGCTGTTGTCCGTGATCCATGCAGAGGAGTGGAACGTCGGAGCTAAGTTCTTCGGGCAAAGCACTTGCATGTGGGAAGTAAATGTGGTGAACTCACTGGTGTGCTGGCAATGAGCTTTGGCAGAGGCAGGATCTCATTCCCGTGTATTTATCTGGCACTAGTACAGACCTAAAGAGCCCATCCCTCGTGTGTGCATCCCTTCCTTCTCAACCAGGACCTGCCCTCATCCTTTCTGCTTTTCCATGAGGTTCCAAAAACTGGGACAGCTTTGGGAACAATAAAAGCAACTTCTGCAGTGCTCCTCCTCTTGCTTAAGGTTCTTCTGGGCAGGGGGCAAAGGGGATGCTGAAGGGCTTTGTTGAAACAGCTCACGGATAACCCTTACTAGGCTGTTTTGCTCTAGCCTCTGGTGTTGCAGCCTTTCCTGGAATGGGCTCAGCCGTATTCTCTCCAGCGGGGTGTCCTCCCTCCTTCCTTCCCTCCCTTCCTGCCTGCTATCCCCTGGCCTCGAGCCCTGCTCTGGATGCCAGAGCTTTGCAGAGGCAGCAGCTGTTTGAGCCCTCTCATGGGGCTTTGGCTGCAGTGGTTGTTTGCAGGATGCCTTCGTCATGCAGCACGGGGAAGCCAGAGGGCTGATGCTTGAGTGCATTGGAGGGAGAGAAACCATAGTATAGAGTTATAGAATCAATTGGGTTGGGAAAGCCCTTTAAGCTCATCCAGTCCAACCATTCCCAGCACTGCCAAGGCCACCATTGCCCCATGGCACTGAGGCCTCGTCTCCATGGGGTGTGAACACTTGCAGGGACGGTGACTGCAGCCCTGCCCTGGGCAGCCTGTTCCAATGCCTGAGCACCCTCTGGGGCAGGAATTGTTCCTCAGCTCCATCTAAACCTGCCCTGGTGCAGCTTGAGGCCGTTTCCTCTTGTCCCATCCCTTGTTCCTTGGGAGCAGAGCCCAGCCCCTCCTGGCTCCATCCTCCTCTCAGGCACTTGTAGGCAGCCATCAGGTCCCCCCTGAGCCTTCTCCACACTGAACCCCCCAGGTCCCTCAGCCCTTCCCCATCACACTCGGGCTCCAGGCCCTGCACCAGCTCCATTGCCCTTCTCTGGCCCCGCTCCAGCACCTCAATGTCTCTCTTGCAATGAGGGCCCTGAACTGAACACAGGATTCGAGGTGCAGCCTCACCAGACATCAGCCTGAGCTGGGAAGCGAGTCCTGAAGAGCGCTGGTTTAGTGCATCCACTTAAGTGAGGTGGCTGCTCCCTGCTGAGACAAAGCAGGTTTTGGAGCTGGTGAGGGCAGCATCAGCATCTCTTTCTGGCAGCAGCGCTTGGCTATTGCATTAGAAATTAAACCCGGCTTTTTGGGCTAAGCCCAGATCCCAGTACCTTACTTGAAACTCCTTTCCCTTGGTATCATACAAAGGAGAGGGAGTTCTCTGTATTCAAGCATAGAGAAAGTCTTAGCCTGAACCTCACAGCCCTCCCTGTTTGAGACAGGAATCGTGTCAGTGCAGCACAGGAGATGGAGCTTTAGTCTGTGCCTTAGGTGAGCTGGTTTGGGCTTTTAGGAGCTGGGCAAATGGGAGGGGGTGGCATTGAGAAGAGGGGAAGGGGATGGATGAGATGCAGGCTGGGTGGCAGTGATGGGGGGGATCTGGTACACTTGGCTGTGGCTGTTGATGCCCTGGGGTAAAAACAGTGGTGGTCCAGTATTATTCATCTACCCTGTGGGAAAACAGCTCATCTCTTCTAGTCATCACTGTCCCAAACCCTCTTCTTGGGTACAGGCTGCTTCCAATGGTGCCATGGGATTGGTACAGGGTTAAATTAGGGTTGTTAATATCTC